GGATGGATGGATGGATGGATGGATGGATGGATGGATGGATGGATGGATGGATGGATGGATGGATGGATGGATGAAATTCCAACTTCTGCATCATTTTTGTCCAACCTGCAAATTTCACAAATGCCCACTGTTAGGGGTAGAAACTAATTTCTGCCCACAGACTTAGCTTTAGGCTGATTTTTGTAAAAAGTCAAAAGAAATTGCATAATTAATGAGATGGGAAATTTAACAGTCAACCTACCATAACCATATGCCTTCCAAACTGCTAGTTTTGCTGGTCTACTGGTTTGATTCTGTCCATTTAAAAACTTCAAAAGTCTTCTTTAAGGAAAGCTAAAGCTGCATGGTAAAATGAAAATCTGTGGAAGGAATGCAAATAGATCAATAAAAGGCCTCTGAGCTTCCGATTGTATTTTTTTTATGAATGGAAACAAGACAGTCCCCATGTTAAAGTACACTTCCCGCATAAAAATCATTATGTAGATAATACACTAGTTGTTCAGTCATTGTGACAGGTGGAAATCTTTGTGAGGACTCTTCTCCTATTCCAGCTCAGTCTCAGCTCAGCTGCTTTTTTAATACTTTGGCTCGAACTGAATTCTGCTGTGACATGGCCTGCTGCACAGCCTCGCATTCAAAAAGTGGATGTACATTATTAGATGTGTCTTCTAAAGGAATCAAAGCATGGCAAATGCCCAAATGACAAAACACTTCCTCACACCCTCGAGATTAGCCATTCTTCTTGTGTGTCTCTTTTCTGACAATGTTCTTATCTGAAAAGAGACTTCTTACCCAGAAATACCAGAAATGTCTCCGGTCCAAAGAGATTATCAACTTAACTTTGCTGCTTCAGGGAGTTTAATTTCCATAATTAAACCACATTGGCCCGACTGCGGCATTCTCCTGCCAATGCCAGCAGAACGATTTCACCACTAATTCACCATTCTATGCTTACAGGTGTCCTCTCAGATCAGAATATAGAGAGCCCTTTTTTCCCCTCTACAACTGAAGAGAAACTGACCAAATTGCCTTTTCAGTAGATCTTTTCAATGTGTCTTAAAGGTCAACTGATGACCTCTAAAAAGCTAGTGAAAAAGCAGCAACCTTGTCAAACAAACAAAAAAAACCTACAATCGCAGCAAGCAATTTTGTTCCTTTTTGTTCCTTTTTCCTTCTGCACCTGTTGAACTGCTGCTTGTGAACTGATATACTCACACATTGTTCCAAATAACCCCCAGAACCTCAGAACATTCTCGAAACCACTATTTACCGGGCTTACATACTTACATGTACCCTATATGGGCTTTGCAATGTTCTTTATTAAGCTGTCATGGGTGTCTGTTGTCTTTCATGCTCCATAAAACCTTTTCTCCTCATCTTTAGCAGAGAACAGCGGGGGATCTGATGATCAGGAACATTCAGCTTAACCATGCTGGCAAATATATCTGTGTGGTGGACACAGACGTGGAGAGCCTGTCAGCCGTGGCTGTATTGATTGTGAAAGGTAAGAAAACCTTCTCCCTGCTTGGCACTCACTAATTAAACTGAGGCTTGCAGCTAGGATTTTTAAATTGCTTCCTCTTTTTAACAGCAGAAAATCAAACTCTAGTCTTTACAGTAAAGTGGATGATAGATGTGGCTTGAGCAGGAAAGGTGTTTGTTGGTTTTAAGAGCCACCAAACAGTGCTATCTTAGAGAAGTTGTTTTGTACATCATATAGAGAATGTTGACTTTCAATTCTATTTGGGTTGTTTTGAGGGCACTGATTGCACCAGTCCTTGAAATTTGTTCTGGAAACCACCGGAATCCACAGTTTTGTTTCGTTCATTCAGTCATTACAGCAAACAGAGGAGACTTTCTTTTCTTTAATATTTCATTAGAAGACGTTTGTGGGTGTCGAAACATGACAAAGCGTGTTAAAAATTCCAGGAGTGGGAACTGTATTTTTTTTTTCTTTTGGATGGATTCTTTTCTGTGTCTCTTCTTAATGACCAATTTTCAATATGGTTGCAATGTGCTTGACAGCAAAATGTGCTGAGCGCCGTCTCTGTCTGTTCATGCAGTATGCATTGCTCCTGAGAGACACAGTTGTTGAAAGTTACACTTGGCAGAACAAAATAACGTTTGTTCTGCCTTTCGAGGAGCAGCAGTGTTTTAATGCCGCTGCCAGAGGAAAGGGGCTGTTTGTGGCGGAGATCGATACGCCGACTAGCCCAGCAAATTGACACTACGCAAATATGCCAAATGTCAGATGAGGTGAGGGATGATTTGGGTGTCGAGATTTGAAAAGGTTGGATCTATATCTTTGTCTTCTAAGGATGCCCACCACTGATTCTGCTTGGCATGTTTAAGATGTTCAAAGCAAATTGCTGTAATGAGCGCAGAGGGCTAAGAGGAAATAATGCTGTTTTTGTCGAAGTTGAAGCCATAACATGGAAGGGAAATTGGATTGGCCTAGAACCGACTGGAGACAAACTTGACTGTGACTCAGGCTGTGCATTATTTACACTTCCTGCTCACGGCAGCTGTCTTGAATGTCTCATAGTTGGGATTGAATGGCTTCAAAAAACCATGAGGCTGGATAGAAAAACCAGCCATGGAGGGATAAAAAATGTCTTTTTTATGATCACCATAGACATTTTAGAAAATGACAGTGGTTGCATGCATATATATTGCATATCTCAACACTTGTATGATCCAAAAATGGCAAACTAGTTTTTACTGTAAACAATTTTACTGGTTCTCTTTGTAGTTCAACAAAATCAGTAGAAAATATTTCAGCGAGGTGCAGATTATCAAGGACAGAAAATCTGTCAGTAGATAAATTAGAAAATCTGACAACTTATTGTGCAAATTGATTAAAACACCCATATCATCAACAATATTTTGCATTGTTATTGTGTGAATGTTTATAAAGCTTTTGCATATGAAAACCTTTTTTTCTGTACCTTTTTCGACATGTATCGTTTTCCACAATTTTTGTGCTTTTTGTACTGTTTATATACACTCACCGGCCACTTTATTAGGTACACCACGCTAGTAACGGTTTTGTGGTCATAAAGGGATGGACATGGTCAGCAACAATACTCAGGTAGGCTGTGGCGTTGCAACGATGCTCAATTGGTACCA